TATATATAATCTATTTTTATATTGTAAATTTTATTACACAATTATTAAGTAAAGAATTATAATCTTAAAAGCCTATATCCCTTCATTTATATAATGTGAGGGGCTTAAGCCCTCATCCCCCGATCCTGCTGCCCGTGCCCCTCCGATGAATGCAGGTAATACATGTAAACCTCACTGTGATGAAAAAATATATGAATGAAGGTTAAAGTTTATAAACGGTTTTCTATTCATATTTGTAGGCTCTGAAGTGACTTCAAAATAGTCATCATGTGAGAAAAGGAAAATCAATAAAAGATTTTATTCCTAATTTACGTTTGCAAATTAAGCTCTACAAATATTACCTGTCTGAATAGGTTTTTTTTTATATTTTTGCTTTTTAAATGCATTTTATATTGTTATTACTAACTTTTCTTCTTATTATGGGTTTTGTTGCTTAAATTTTCCAGTTATTATTATTTAACAGTTTGCTCCATAGATGGGAGCACTGAAATACAATTTACTTCATATATTTTTTACCATATATATTTTTTTAACAATCATTTTACACGATATAAGCTATAACCACATTTATACATTTTTTTCTTCTCAGCGAATTTGTGATAACTGTTTGATTAATATATCTATTTTTAAGGCATTTTTATTTTTAACTCCATACCGGTAAGTTTGTTTTCTGTTTTTTTTCTTCTTTCATCTCAAACTCATTTTTGTTGCATTTTTATTTTTTAGTGCTGTAGAACACATTATAAAGGGTAATTTTTATCTTACGATAATTATCCTTTATTTCGAAATATCGCTACGTAAAAAAAAGGGTCTTGAAGATAGTTTTTACGTTTTCCTATAAAAAAATTTCTTTCATTTTATTTTATAATTATTAGTTTATTGATTAGTTTTATTAGTTTTTGCAATTAAAACATTTCTTTTCCCCCACTCTAGAAATAGATAAAGGTCAGGGGTTTTTTGGCCGCCCTTGCTGCACCCTTCCTCAGTCACAAGCTTGCATTATGGTCTGCTTACAGGTAAGACTAAACTATTTATAAATCTGATTTTATTCTATTAAAACTGGTCTATTAAATAGATGTGTTTTAAGAGCAGTAATTTAATATGTAATTAAATTCCGATTTATGCACGAAAATATATATTATAAATCGTTACAAAAAGTTTAATTTAATAATGCTTTGTTAAAAATTGCATCTTTCAAGAATGCGATTAATCATCTATTGCACCAACATTCTTTAAATCTTATGTGTAAATTCAATTTCAATAATGCCTAAGTTCTAATCACCCCTGTCACATCAGCTCATCTTGATACCCGGGAATCTTGTTTTATTCATATGAATGTCGATTCAATTGTTAACGACATTAGTTTCTCACCATCTCTAAATAGCACCTGGAAGTGGATTTTTTTCGGATTTGTGGTTTTTTTTTAATTTACTTACCTTTATTTAATTTTTTTCGATAAGAATTCTACAACAGGTTTTCCGTAGTTTCAAGAAAATATTTATTCCAGTGGTAGCAAAGACATGTTATTAATATTTAGAATTCAAAGAAGTTTTATTCACCAAGTATATTAAATGTCAGATAGAGAAATGATCCTTCCCAAAGTCTTTTAAAATTTCGGATTTAGTTTGCTACCACTATAATTCTTATGTTATGCAATTGGTAATACATATACTAATATAAGTATTATATTGACATATTTGGTTATTATTATTGACATAATTATCAAAAACAATGCTTAACAGTTTTAATACCGATACTCTATTGTCCTTCGAAAGGAACGTGTACTGGAAAAAATTAGTGGTAAATGTTGATTATCGTAAGTCTGCCAAATGTTACTGATGATTATGGTAAATGTAGCTTATCTCTATTCTGATGGGATGAACAACAAAAACATGTTTTGCTTAATTTATTACCGTAAAGGGCAACAAATAATAATAAATAAGAATTAAATTAAATTAGCTGTATTGTGTTAGTACATGCCTCACAGTTTTGGACATGTTTTAGTAGAATTGTTCAGTGCTGATTTATGGATTCTTGTACGAAGACTGGGTATTCAACTAGTATATAAATACAGAATTTCGAACAGTATAAATATTTCAGAAGATAAATGATTTATAATTTTTGATAGTGTAATATAAAAAAAATATATCACACTTTTTTAAGGACTCTCTTTATAGTTTCTTACATCTCGTTGTTCTCTTAAGGGTAATGAACCACAAATTGTTCAGGGGGGAAACAGAACCGTGTATAGTATGTCTAAAGTAAGAACTCCCCTAGTGATTCGTCTGGAGTGACTATGGTAACGAGGTACAACTATTTCAAGTAGAGGTGTGGGGTTACTGTTTAGGACAGGTTTTGGTCGGAGAGAGAAACTTTTTCTCCCGTCTATGTGTGTTAGCCGTAGAGTGAAGAGAAGCTACCCTTCCTGAAATGCGCTATTTTTGTTTCCATAGCAGCAGACGGCCTCACACTTTGTGGCTGGAGGAATTCTTACAGCAGACAAACTGTAGGAGTCTTTGTGTATTGTTTTGTTGTCGAGTAGTAGGTGAAAACTATACTAAGGAGCACACAGAAGTTCCACCTGTGTTGTTAAAAAAATGCAGCAAACTTTTAAGACTACGAGTTAACTTTTAAGACTAGTCCAAAGTTCATCCGATCTGTACTGCTTCGCTAGAAAGTCATTATTTACAGGATTTGTGATAATTTTTTATGTTCTAGGCTAAGGATAGAGAAGAATTGATGTCGGCATGCCGTCCAAGTAACGAAATAACATTTTATTCCTGCCTGGAAAAACAAGAAGGTGTGTATTTCTTTAATTATCCAATGAATTAAGAGTCTAAAATTTGGAGGGAAAAAAATTATATTTGGTTATATTCAGGAGCGCCGCAAACTTATATTTTTGGGAAGTGCCAAGTGAAACACCCCATTTCAACCGTATCATTAATCAGTATGTACAGTCAAACCCCGGTTTAACGAACCTCAGTTTATCGAACCCTGGTTTAACGAATTCCATTTTACCAAATTTCTCGATTTAACGAATTTTGTGAAGTGAATGAAGTAGATTTATAAGAAACAATTAATAGCGACACAGAAGTCGATGATAATGAATCTCCAGTAAAAACTGTTACTTTTTTTGATGCTTTGGAAACAGTAAAAACTTACCGAATGCAGCAAGATGTAAATTTCTCCTCCTCATGACGTCGAAAAAGAGCTTTTTTAAAGTAAGAAATCCAAACAAATAAACAAACTTTTAAGCTTCTGAATTTCAAATTAATCAGAGCGTCATCATTCGTTGTATTTTAAAATCCTAAATAAAAACTGTAAGATTTCTATTTATTTTGTGTATTTGCTTATTAGAGATGTTCGGATATTCCCTGAGGTTAGTCAATTTTTCCCCCCAATATTACGCATTATCCTCGATTTAGCGAATAATATTTTCATTCCCCATGAATTCGTTAAATCGGGGTCCGACTGTAGTTACAAAATGGAGCTAATTATAACCATAACCTTAAAATGGAGCTTTTAGGGGGGATTGCCCTAGAATTGCTTTTCGAAGCCACTTAACTTTTAGAGAAAGCAATAAAATTCATTTACCTTTTTGTTTACATTTCAAACGAAAAACTCAGACAAAATGAACAGACTTTATCAGTAGCAATTAAACTTAAAAACTATATTATTTTAATGTATGTTTAAAATTACTTTTATAATAAATGGGGTAAGAGAACAATTTATAGTTTGTGTAAAGCAAGAACTCCCCATGCCATTCGTCTGAACCCTTGACGGTAGCTATGGTAACTAGATATAACTATTTTAAGTAGGGATGTGTAATCGGCGAAAAAAGGTAATCTTTTTCTTCGGTCTAGTGTGTTATCCCTAGAAATGAGAGAAGCTACCCTTCCTGAAATGCGCTATTCCTGCTTCTACAGCAGCAGACGGCCTCAGACTTTTCTGGCGAGGGGAGTTCTTACCGTAGACAAACTATAGACATTTGTCGTGCTCTCTCAATAGAAAAGGTTTCGGGTTTTTATGACTTCCGGGGCTGGTACACCCTGACGACGTCAACTTCGGTTGTTATTTTTATATTTTAAATTTTTTCATTGTTTACTTCTTTAAATTTTCTATTGGTTTCATGAATAACACCTTATTTCAGTGGGACAACAGTGCTGCAACAAAGCGATTCAGTCAGAGTGTGCCGGTGCCTGTAAAGAGCTTTTCTCCAGTACTACAGAGCCATCAGTACAGCTAAGAACATATGTCACCAATACTTGCCTTCATGACAATCCCGACGTCACAAAATGTGTCAAAAATTATACTCTCATCACCCCTGCTGAAAACCCATCAAGAAGTATTTAGTTTCTATATACTCTTTATATATGGTACAAATTATTAAACGCACTCTAAGATTCTATGTAAAATCTTAATATTATCTGGTGATACTATGCAGAGCTTTATTGTTTTTACGCGACTGAAACCGGTTTGTACTTGTTTACGTTACTGTATCAATGGGTTAACATTGTAATGCAATACGTTAAAAATAAATACAAATGGGAAGCATATAAAAAATATCCTGAATAAAAACCCATTACATGTATGTTTAAATATAAAAGTATTGTATACAAACTCCTGCTAAACATGTAGTTATTAAAACACTACAGTGTGTCGAATAATTTGGTCTAATTATTATGATATACTAATACATTATTTGATATAATTACTATTCTATATTTATATAATATATTGTCTTATTTATCCTATCATCGAATTTATGTTATATATCGTCTAATTTAACCAATTGATACATTAAAGTAAGCAAGTGCAAACCGGTTTCAGTCACATAAAAACACTAAACCTGTATAGTATTACCTGATAATTAAGATTTTATAAAAAATTTTACAGTGCGTCTAATAATTTGCCACGGACTGTAGATTAGAGGCTTTATTGTTCTGAAAAAGGCATCCGTTTTTTTGACAGTTATTATTAATAGCAATTAATAGTAGTTAGCCTGGTCGGTAGGGCGCTGGGCCCANAAAACAAGTATCTCATAGAACAAAACTCTTTTACTATCACGAAAGTACACAAAAAATATATACATGTTGCCAACAAAAGAATAATGTAAGAAATAATATAATAAATAATATAATAAATAATCAACGCATCTGCGTTCACGCAGTTGCGTCTGGAACACCCATGAAAATTGGGTCGGCTGTTCAACGACGGTTATAAAATAAAATAAAATTAATAGTAGTATATAACTATTATATTATAGTAATAATATTAACATAATTAATTAATAGTAATAATAATTGATTATTAATTACATAATTTCAATAGAAAAAGCACCAGACATTTCTAATTTTTATGACAATTTAAGGAATTATGCCTGTAATTTACCTGTAATGTGTTCAAAGCAGTACTCAAAAAGCAGATTTATACTGCTGCACCTTGCAAGAAATAAAGTGCTTATTAATTAACTTTTTTCAAGATAATTGCAAATGAATTCTGTGTAAAATACTATAATTTTGTATAAAAGGTCAACAAAGTATGAAGCACTGCGAAGAAAAGGTTCAAGCTTTGAATGCCTTCTTCCTCCGTTGCGCTGCAGCGTAGACGCACATCAAGGGGTTTAACCACAAAAGCAGACGAAACACGACAGAACAATTCGACTCAATCCCTTTTATTTGCTGGGTTAAAATAAACGTTTAAAAAACTGGACTTAAATTGTTAGTTATAACTGTAAAGAGCAATAAATGTAAGAGTAACTGTAAGAGTAACTGTAAGATAACTGTAAGAGTAACTTAAAATACGTCGTAAATTACAACACGCCAATATGGTATAGTTTGTCTATAGTAAAAACTCCCCTAACCATTCGTCTGAACCCGTGGTGGTGACTATGGTAACGAGGTATAACTATTTCAAGTAGGGGTGTGGGATCACTGTTAAGGAGAGGTTTTTACTAGGGTCAGCGAAAAAAATTGAATCTTTTTCTTCGATCTATTGTGTTAGCCCTAGAGGGAAGAGAAACTACCCTCTAAGAAAGACGCTATTTTTGTTTCCATAGTAGCAGACAGCCGTGACTTTGTGGTGGGGGGAGTTCTTACCGTAGACAAACTATAGGTCCTTCTTGACCAGTAATGTGTAATTGTCCTCTAGAAAACAGAACTAATTTCGCGGATATACACCACTCTCTCCCCACTCGTTTTATGTTTTTTTTTTTTTTTTTTTTCATTTTATTTTCTGTTTTTTAAGTGATATTTATTATTTTATGTGTACTATTCTATTTCGTTTCAAAAAATTTTTCAGTGATCCTCACACTATTGTATTTATATATTTTGCTTTGACTACATTGATGCAATATTAGAAAGCACTTCTTTTTGTAGATATAATCGTGTGAGCTGATGAAAAGATTATCTTTTTCTTTTTTTTTCGGATTTTATTAAATTTTTTTTTTATTGTTCAATAATTTTTCCATGTTTTCTTCATATTTTGAACTTAATTTATGAGTTATATATACTTGCAGCTTATGTGTGCACTAAATAAAATTTCTTGATTTTCTTCGTTTTCTCTTTTTGTCCTTTATGTAATTGTTTGTTTGTTACTGTGTAAAAGACTGAAGTGTCCTAAGGTATATTGTGTTTTATGTGTTAGATCTCCACTGCTGTGATAAATCGTCAAGTGCTGAGTGCCGTCTTTCTTGCCGAAATATTCTGAGGACTCAAACGATTGGTCAAGAAATAGTAGATAATCTAATTGATGGAGGATGTGGGGAACCTCTACCCCATGTATGTGTTTCTTTTGTTTTATTTATTTTATGTTTCCTTTGTCGAGAAAAAATAATGTTTCGTCAAGCTTATCATAAACAAAAAAGAAAAATACAACTCGATACACGAGTCTCAAATCATTTTATAGAAGTTGAAAACAGCAAAAGAATTTACTTTAAAATAGTTTTGGTGATCTTAGCGAATGAATTGTTTCGCATTATCGTTTGGAGTTCCGTTTGTCAAATAAAGCACTTCAGTCGGATACGGTTGTTCTCCTCAAAATATTTTTTTTTTTAGAGAATAAATAGAATTTTGAATAAATAGGAACAGTATAACATACACCTGAAAATCTACCGATGTTTTCCTCTCCTTGTTAGCCATTTTCTTTTGCTCTGTTAGTGATCGTCTGAAGTTGAGAGGAATTTCTGCGGTACAGCGAAATGATTCGAAAAATAATTCTTAAATTGTTCCGGTATATGGAGAGATATGGCGAGAAGGGACTATAAAAAGGTTATAGTTATAAAAAGTTCACGTTTTTAAAACGGACATGAAAGTAAAATAAGAAAAGGGAAAAGGAGAAGTTGGAGCAATGTTAAATAAATTTTCAAAAAAAAAAATTCCATTTCTTTGAAACACAATGTTTTGCATAGGTTCTCGTTCGACTTAACCTTAAATTTCCGGTGATTCGCAGTTGGCCAAATTATTAGAATAAATTTGCTCTCGCATTCCAAGTTTCCATTCGGTAACAAATATATAATGAGTCACGAATGCATAAATGTTGCGATACACTTCTAAAGAAATTAGGGCATTTCATCTGGATTAAAATTGCACAGTAATTCGAACGTGGAAATGCCATCATACGCTGCTAGGGGCGCTTCTCTCTTATGAACTGTAACTTTGCGTACTTCTGAACAAGTCTTTCTAAGGAAGAGGGACATTTCCGTTGTGCAGATTTAATCTTGATGATGTACCCTAACTCCTTTAGAAGTTAGTCGCAATATTTATACAATCCCTTTTATGAATCACGTTTTTGATGCTCAAACGACAAAAACTAAACTAAAAATGACATTTAAAGAAAGGAGCAAAACTAATTTCAGATTTGAAATCTAAACACCCGAATTAAACGAATTCAAATGAAGTTCCCCTATGTCTTATTTTAACCGTTTGAGTCCCGAGCAGCGCGATCGCGCTCTAGAGATTTTATGCCGATGAAATCCAGTACATTTCGAACATCGTGGACAATTGACGGTGTGTTACAGATTGTTGAAGTTGCACTCTCAGATTTACTGGAGCAAGTACATCACACAGCACCTTTTTAATGTAAATAGTACATTTTACGATAGGTAGAATAATACTATAATAACGCAATAATGCATTACAAAATAAAAAAATATTATTTCATTGTTATCACTATCCTCTGAAGTACTCAAAATGCGTTGTCTTTAGCACTTTACAGGAACAATGCAATCTGCATCGTCGTCAATAGAAAACAAATAACCATCCAACAATTTTCATACACACGCATTATCGTGCGTTGCACTTGTTTTAGTCGGAAGGTATGGAAAGGACTATTCAGGCTAATTGCCACGGGAAATGATAAACTTCCTTATTTCAAGTATGAAATCACGCTGCAACGCCTGAATATCTGTAAGAGGGGACCACACCAGGGCTAAAGAGAATAGANTCAAGTATGAAATCACGCTGCAACGCCTGAATATCTGTAAGAGGGGACCACACCCCCTATATAACCCTTTTTTTCCCTTTTTTTTTATTCTGCAACCGCTGTTTCATACCTTCCGACTCCAACGGGTGTTTCGCACGATCATGCACGTGTATAATTGTTGCTATAATTGTTGAGTAGTTATTTGTTTTGTGTTTTATCAATGTATGTACCTGACAAATTTCATTAAAATCGGTCCAGTAATTCTAGAGATAATCGACTAAGTCATACCTTATATATATATATATA